CCCCCCAATCCCCTTCACCCAGAAATTTGGGCCGTTACTTGACTAGCCCCGAGCCCCCTGCTTATGACATTTAGTGTGATCAAAAAAAATCTGTAGTTGTATATTGACTCTATTGAACTATTAAATGCAGCTGTTATTCTCATTCTGTCCTTTTTGCTTACCCTGTCTAGATATTCTTGAATGACAATCTGTTCATGAGAGGGAACTCTGTCACCATTCCTAATCAGGGAAATCCTGTGTAAAAAAATTAACATTACTCAGACATTACTACACTACTGCTGGTTTCCTTGGAGGGGAACTTGAAAAAATGAAAGGAAAAATGGAAAAAACTCTTACCCATTTCCCATCGCTCCATTTGCAGGTTTGACTATAAATGTTTTTACTTTCTTTTTCTTTTTTAAATCTCTACAATAAAATTGAAAAGCTGCATATCTGTTTTGGATGTTAAAGAGTGCTTCAACTGCATGTGCCGTCCTTTAAAAGGGCTAACCTCAGGGTTTCATTAAGGGCTGGGGATCAGGGCACACTCCAGTAAATGAATATATTCTCTGGCTAAAGGTGACTGGCTACTTTTTGGGGGGAAACATAGCACCATTTGATAAAGTCTCGGGGGAACCTGAGAAGTAGGCTAAGAAGGGATAGGATCTGGCATTTTAGGGAAAGAGGGCTAAAAAGGCTATCCCACAGAGAAAGCATGTCTATAAAAAGGATACTCTGCAGGAATGACCCAAGTCTGAGGTGTAAAGCTATATTCATCAGGATGAGCTCTCTGCATTCTTCACAAAAATAATACACATAGTTAATGTTATAAACAAGTCATGTATCTTGGGGACAGATGGTGGGATGGGGTCTGCATCTTGGCGCAAATGTGTTTGTCTGTAACATCGCAGGGACTGCGGAGCACATTTTGAATTGAGAGGGGGGGAGTGAAGGAACAGAACTTCCCCAGGTCCACCTTCCCTGAATCCACAGAAACTCCATCAGCATAAGCCACAAAGTAGTTTTGTGTTATCCCAACATGCCAATGACCTATGTGCTTACTTACTTGGCAATATTACGAGCTAAGCTGTCCTTACGGCATATCTCCCCCATTCCTGGGAAATGATTTATTCTCTGTTGAGAAAAATATACTGTATAAGAAATATTTGAAACAATCCTCCTGCATTGTTTTAACACTTTTATATCTCTGTGGAGCCTCAAAACAGCTGGTTTCTGGCCCTCCATTTTATCAAACGTTTACTAACACAGGCTTAAAAACTTTGGCAATAGAGGCTTTTTAAGAAAGGATACTTCCAATTTATAAGTTCAATAAGCTGCAAAAAGATTTTGTTTTCCACAGGAGAAATATTCTATTGTTTTGCCTAGCAACATGGCTGAGACAAAACTCTTCTGGAAAATTATGTATAAGGCTGTTAATAAACTCTGAAATAACAAGCTTTGCTTACCTGGTATGACTTGAGCTCAGTGACTCTTTCACCAGGAATTGCTGAATCACTCCAGTAAAAGAAACTTGGAGAAAAACAAAATAGCATTTCAAAACTTGAGTACCATTGTATAAGATTGTTTTTTCATCCTTCCCCCTCTCAATATTATCTAACTTATCTCCATTTGTCTTTTTTAAATGGCTAAAAAAGAGTAAAACCCTCTTTTTCGTGACAGTTAATTCCAAAAAAGCGCGTTGTAAAACTTCCAATTTAATTGTAATGGGGCTCCTGTGGAATCGTACCACAGGCAGACCAAACCCCATGTAAAAAAAAAAAAGCTGAAAAACCCTCTTAGAATCTTCCAAAAAAACCCTTATATTATAGGGTAATAAAATAAAGTTRAAATTTTTCTTACCAGTTGGGGTCATCATCTCTTGTAATGCACATTCCTGCTTGAAGGCAAGCTTTTCTCACTGTTGTAATGAAAGCAAAGAAAAAATCAACTTAAAGGTATAAAGTAGAAGAAACTAAATATAGAAAAAATACATTGAACGTTTCTTTTGCATATTTGACTGCTCATTATTTATGAGAATAGCCTCAAAACTTCAAGCCATAGTTCAAAACACTTGACTTATTTCGTAGTTTTTAGCTAAAGTTGAAATTTTCTTTGCATCTTTTTTAATTTTTATTTTTTAAAATGTAATTATTGATCGAAAGATTAACCAGAATCAAAAATTTCCTTAACGACAAGTACAACAGTGAATTTGCTGTGGTTGCTATGCAAAATGAATCAATATTTTCGATTTATAATAGCAAAAAATAAGTTAAAATCACTTAGTGGGAAGCTTTTACTATTTGGAAATAAATAATCAAGATTACAAGTATTAGAACGACTTAGAAAAAAGACTAATAAGACTTTTTTGACGGGAAGCATTGTTACAATGTTTGGTCTGGTACAGCCAACAAAGTACATTAATACTCGAGATGTTTCGTGATAAAATAGGAAGAGTTTGCGAACATTGTCACAAAMTTCTATCAAAAAATTCAGGTACCGAAAAGTAGTTGGCACTTTTTAAAGCAGTTATCTTTTCCGGTCGAAGTATTTTTCAATGAGCTGAATACAAAAGGGATTACCAAAACAATTCTTTTAGTAGTGTTTACCAAGGTCTTTTTACCCTCAATAATCGTTTGTTGTAGGTTAAGGACAGTCCTCAAGGGAAAACAATCTAATGCTAGTAGCAGTTCGTTCACACTTCCAGTTTAAAGATGACTTGGTATTGAAGATATAATAGAATCAACTGAAAACATGTTTTAGGCGAAAACAATATAATATAATTGAAGGTTTCGCCAATAGACAAACAATTAGGAGTGTGGCTTGCCAGTAATAATATTCAAACAATTTTCGCAGTTTCATACTAARAATTTCACTTATCACTTCATTTAATACTTACCAACATCGTATTTTGTACCAGCAATATTAGCAGTCACTTTCCTGGACCGAACTTTCTTTTTCTTGGCAGTTTGGGTTTTAATTCKACTGGAGCGCGTGTTACTATGTGTTTCTGTTTGTACATCTTCTTCTTCTTCGCCCTCGTTGTTAACACTCTCACAATCCGAATTTCGAGCACTAATATCAGCTGTTAGCTCTCTTTTCACATCTAAATAATCCGTACTCAATCTAACAGATGAAGAAGCCATTGAAGAGGAGTTTCTTGAGAGTACGGAGGAGCGTGGTGAGCATGGCATCCTTTCTCAGTCAGCGTTTCCATAACCCCACGCACATTTTCATCCGGCGAATTTTTCACGGGAATAAATCTTATTTACATATCTTGGATAGGAGCTTTTGGTTTTAAGTCTCTGGAAAACGACTTTTCACGTATTTTACGTCTTCAAAATAAAAGCTTTTGCCTTTGTTTTTAAAGTTGTTATTACTGCGGCTAATGTTCCGTTTGATTCCACAGCACTAGAAAGGCTTCCCGGCTGGAGATTGCGTTATGTCACGTTGATATGGAAACCGCATACAACATGATCACGCAACTCTACGTTTTTTTCYAAATTGCTAGCTTTGGAATTTATTTTCGTTTTCTGTTCAACAATAATTACATATAAACATCCGAACTGTATTTTTTAATCATCATTAACAAAAATAGTATAACTAAAAAAATAAGCTTTTGAGGAACATCTTTTTCCCTCAATGGGATCCCTGTGGAATGTTTGCATGAAACAGACTGGTAAGAGGGAAACAGCTGGTCAAGAGTATCGCTGGCATTATACAGCACATGTCAAGTAACAACTAAACTTTTCTGTTGTTGKTCAAGTGTCTTTAGTTTTTCTCTGTTTTTTTAACCGATCTATTCTATAATGGATGATACTGAACTAACGTATAGGTTCTGGAGGATACGAAAGACCGTCATGCAGGTTGGTTTTACACTGTTATGGCTCAAATGACGCGAGATCGCTTCTAGTATAAATTTGTCTTTTCATTATTTGACGAGTGATTTTGTTTGTGAAATGAGAATCATTCTTGAAAAATTGGATAAAAACTCAGGTTATTAATACAAAACTATTTTGAACGAAGATCGGCAGGTTTTATGAGTTCTTCTCGTAAGTATTGCAACTCTTTTCAACACTTCTTTCAAGTTTGTATATCAACTGTATGCAAGTCTTATATTACCACTCTTCATTGCTACTCGCTGATCATACACTTCCGTTAATCAAATAAATTGGTCGTTACCTTTATATTCTTTGATTGGCAGCAATGTATTGCCCTATTTCCCTGTAGCGACTGTCGTCTCGATGAGTGCGTAGCAGTGAAAAGAGTGGTAAAGTACAGCGTACTACTACAGTGGCCCCTTTTTTGGTTGTTACTCCTATCAGAAACTGATCCAAACTAGTGGAATTATATCATGAATGCAGGGAAGATTGGATTATTTCTGACTATAACGTTTGTGTATCAGATGTGTCATGACAGAGGGTATCTTGTCACTCAAGATGAATTGGACCAAACATTAGAACAGTTTAAAGAACAGTTTGGAGATCGTCCAAGGTAAAATGTGATATGTGATAAACTGAATGGAGCTCATTCAGGGGCCACAGAGGGGGAGGGGGGAAGGGGGATTATCCTTCCCTATTCCACCCTAAGTAGAGTGCAGCTGTAAATGTGAATATTAAACAGTTAAGCCTCGTTTACACTAGTGCCAGAATCTGAATCTAAAGCAACATATGTATACTCACATTACTCACCTACTGTAGGTGCAAAAAAGACTAACGCTGTTAATGAGCAGTACACTACTGAGTCTGCATATGCTTGCGATTACGATTCATACGCTAGTATGACTCAAGCTTTATTGGACGAGACTGGGCAAATTATGGTCTTGATAATTTACAACATTGTGCCAATACCAAATTCAATAATCATTTAACATTTTGTGAGCTACGATTTAAGAACAAAGATTTACTTCTGAACTTGAATGAAGTTGACATCATAATAATTGTATTATCTGCAGAAAAAACTACAGATAAACAGTTATCATGTCAGGTTCACTCGTTATCAGGGATTGGATGAATGATCTCAGCCAATCTCAGTAAATCCTATAATAAATAATATAGCATATCATAATGTTGTTATCATTTAGTGAAGGAAGACCATCAAGAAGTGACCTGTCCATTCTTGTTGCTCATAACGACGATCCAACAGGTAAAACAACAAACAACAATCCTCTCCTTTAAACAATATTTCTCCTTACCCAGACTTTCAATAGAGTAAATATTACTAACTTATCTGTGAACAAGGTTGTAAATAAGGAGCTTACATGTACCTTGTAACAGTCAAAGTAAAACAAAACAATGGAATAAGTGTCTTATACTATGTATTATGCTCACCATTTTTTCACAGGCAAGTAAARTTACTACCCTGGTGTATGTCTTGCCTCTAAAATTACTCTAGTGACAGTATTTGTATATCACATTAGAGCAGATTTAGTTTGACGGTGAAGAACTTTAATTCCTTACAGATCAGATGTTTGTGTTCTTTCCTGAAGAACCAAAAGTTGGCATCAAAACTATAAAACTGTAAGTCAAAGACTGATGCTGAAAATCAGATGTCTATATGTTGTGGATCCTTTTATTGTTGACATATTTTTAACCATGTAGAAAGGTTTTAATCATGAAAAGATGCAATGTATTTACCATCTCCTTCTTGTCTTTCATCTTGTTCTTTTTGTTTTCTGTTCATGAAATTCCATTTTATTTATTCTTTGTGTGGTAGATATTGTCAGAGAATGCAAGAAGAAAATATAAACAGAGCAATTATTGTAGTACAGTTAGGAATGACACCATCAGCCAAACAGGTATGTTTGACTCTTCCATTCATTGTACGCAGAGCTCAAACTTGCTTCATGCAGCTCTTCATTTCTTTAAGGCATGATCACATGGAGCAATTATTTTTCCTGCAACTTGTCTCACAACAGYATTGCAACAGAAGCTGCAAGAGTGTTTACCTGGTGCAGCGGATGTAATTGTATATTATAATTAATATGTAATTGTTGCCAAAAGTAGAAAATCACTCTTCCTTGTTTTTGAGGGTAATGATTGTCTTGACAGTGTGGTTGGGAAGTACTGTAACAGGGTGACTGTAAGGTGGGGCCCAACTGTCTAATTTGATTTCAATTTTTTTTCAAACAACAGGCATTAGTTGATATGGCTCCAAAGTATATACTAGAGCAGTTTGTAGAAGCTGAACTAATGGTTAACATTACTGAGCACGAGGTAAAAAATAGAAAAATTATCTTGATTTTTTTAAATATCACAATGAAATACTTTAAATAAGGTCTCTAGAGTACCAAACAAAGAATTTTTTCTGAGTCTTTTGCAGCTGCATAAGTTGCTTCATATAATGCGAGGATCAGCTCAATTTGATACATTACAGCCACAGTACAAATATATGTTTCATTATATTCTCATACACAAACCCAACAAAGCATGTGTGTGTGGGAGAAGGCACCATTCAAAGTTTTATACACTAAAATCTAAAAATTATGGCTGCTCAATGAGAAGACATAAAACCTGGGTACATCTGACTAATCAAAATTGACCAGTCATTGTGACCAATCAAATGAACAGCTGGTCTAAGAGGTATTTAACCAGACAAGTGTCACTTTCTGCCAGACACTGACATTCCATTGATAGGCCATTATTTTTGGCTGTGAGTATAGACAGAAAAGAGATGACAAGATTTAGTAAATATTAGTTTAAAGTACACGGACTGTAGAAGTAAAAGCCACCTACTTGACCTTTCCCCCTCCTTCTAAAGCAAGTTTATTTAAAATTAAATATTTTTTTGGCTTGCAGCTTGTTCCAGAACATGTTGTTATGACGCCCGAAGAAAAGCAAGAATTGTTACTAAGATAGTATCCTTTGTCAGTTAAMTTCTGGTTAATGAGGTTATGGCAAATAGTAATACTGATGATGAAGACGATGATGAAAACGACAAGAAGGATGATGATGATAGTGATTATGATGATGGTAATGGTGATGCTGATGGTAATGATGGTGCTGATGGTAATGATGGTGGTGGTGTGATGCTGATGATGATGCTGATGGCAATGATAATACTGATGATGGTAATGATGTTGATTGATGATGCTGATGATGATGATAGTGATGGTGATGGTGATGATGGTGATAGTGATAATGATGGTGTGATGGTGATAATGATGATGATGGTGGTGGTTTGATGCTGATGATAGTGATGATGATGGTGGTGGTGTGATGACGATAGTGATGATGATGGTGGTGGTGTGATGGTGATGATGATAGTGATGGTGGTGGTGTGATAGTGACAGTGATGATGGTGGTGGTAATGATGTGCTGATGGTAATGATGATGCTGATGATGGWGATTATGATGATGATAGTGATGATGATGATGGTGGTGGTGTGATAGTGATAGTGATGGTAATATATGCTGATGGTAATGATGATGCTGATGGTAATGATGGTGATTATGATGATGTTAGTGATGATGATGATGGTGGTGGTGTGATGGTAATGATAATGATGATGACGATAGTAATGATGGTGATGTTTATAACAACGATGATGATGAAACTGTTGCTCAAGTGGTCCTGGTAATAACATTGATAAAGGATGGAGATAATGATGATAATAAAAGTCACTACATTATGGAAAAACAAATTCACTCACAGCATACCTGCGCACACTTATAATTGTAGTGCACAAGTATACATTTAGGATTTTAAAATGATGTTATGTTTAATCAACCATGTTGAGGCTTGACATTCAACTGTTCACAGTTTGTGCTAACTTCAGGTTATTAAAAAGGATAATCCAGGGCGGATGGCCCTCCTGGAGGTATGATAAGCAAAGAAAGTAAATTTTTTATTTTATATATTTTTCCTATAGAAGCTAGAGAACGTGGTTCAAATATTTTGGAATCTATTTACATTTAAAAAATATTTCCTTAACATTTTACCAGTAAATTAAAGGAGCATCAACTGCCTCGTATCCAGGTTGGTGACCCTGTTGCTAGGTACTTTGGTCTTAAACGAGGCCAGGTGGTCAAGATTATTCGACCATCTGAGACAGCAGGCCGATACATCACTTATAGACTGGTTGTTTGAAAACGACCAGGATGTCAATATCACTTATTAACATAATGTATATAATATTAACTGAAGGTCAAATGTCGCACTTGTAGACCTTGGAAACTTACTGAAATCTCAATGGGAATCTCAGTAGGTCAATATCACATATAGAGACCCTATCTCTTACAACTTATTCCCAATGCAACTCAACATTGACAAAAAATATATATAGTTTTGCAGTAGTGAGAAATGAATTTCATTGTTTTGCCTTCTGAATTGAGCTGCTTTGGAAATTGCTGCAAGGGAGCTTTTACTGGGTTTCAAACAGTTGATGAAACTCTTTGAATCTCATTATCTGCTACAAATGGTTGTCAAACACTGACCGCCATGTGCTGTCAGCCAAAAAGAATTCTATCGAAAAATTGCTATTCAGAAGAGAACGTTCTTCATGAGACAGAAAGCAACATCAAGTGAAACCCAGCAATTGACTTGTGATGCATTCATAGTCCTTACTAGCGATCTAATCTTCATTGCATAAGTTTTGCTGTGAAAATATTTTAAGACATTAGACAATTTAAACAAAATATAAACTACTTTCTCGAGATCAGAGTACTGAAATATTTTTTGGCTGCATTTTGGATATTTGTTGCCATGTTGGTTGACGATAACAAAGCATTCCTCGTAAAGCTTCTTTTGTTAACCAACATGGTGGCTGTTTCATTGTTATTTATATCTCTAGGGATTTTGAGTCATGTAGATGCACCCCATGAATTCTAGCTAATTTTTAGAGCTTGTTGTACATAGCAATACTAGCTAAGAAGAGTCGGAACCGTAAATGAAACAACAGGTGGTAACTTGTTGACCTTGAGTTCCATTGACTCGAGTACAGGTGGATTTTTATCGTATTCCATGTTTACTAAACAGCTTGTCAATATATGTCCTTTACCCACCACCTGCTGACTGACAGAGCAGATATTAATATTGGATATTGACTTGTATTCTTGGTTTGCAATCAATCCCAAGAGAGCACAATAACAAAAGGGATGTCCGCCATGTTGGAAGATATAACAAAAGAATTCATTGAAAAATCTTTTGTCAAATTTTTCCAACATGGCGGCTATGACGTCTATTGCAAACGAAGAATACAGGTGGATTTTTATCGTATTCCATGCTTACTAAACAGCTTGTCAATATACGTCCCATTATCCACCTGCTGACTGACAGAGCAGATATAAATATTGGATATTGACTTGTATACAGGTGGATTTTTATCGTATTCCATGCTTACTAAACAGCTTGTCAATATACGTCCTTTACCCACCTGCTGACTGACAGAGCAAGTATATATATATAAATATTGCATATTGACTTGTATACAGGTGGTTTTTTTTTAGCGTATCCTATGTTTTTTCAATAAGTCCTTTTTCCACCTTTTGACTGACATAGCAGGTATATATTGAATACTGTATTGTATTTTCTGAAAAAGCCGTCAATATACAATGTGCTCATGTTGTATAGACCACTTGTCATGTTGTACTCTGCCTCATAAACTTGTAGAATTCTTTGTTTCATTTGGATTCGGCCAATCAAAAATGTATTACTGAATTCAGCCCTTTGAAGGTTTTATAAAGAAAGACCAAAGCCCGAGAAAGTGTGCGTAGCGACCCACAGGCCTAATAGAAGAAAGTTGAAATGTTTCTAAAAAAAATGAATAAAAGGCTTTGTCTATCGATTTACAGACAGATCAATGATATTTCAATTATATACCTCGTAAATAACAGATAGATATATCACTTGAATATTCCTTTTTACTTTGCCGAAAATTGAAGAAGTTGAGCAATATACCAAACAACAAATAATTGTGCGAGAAACAGGTAGTTTTATCAGATATCTACCGAAAAGGCGTCACGCAGATTGTTTTGTCATTAACCTGCAACTTCGAAAACTAGTTTTCTATTTGTTTTCTCAGGGCCAAACGTTCAATTTTTAAGCACGTCAAAAATAAAATGTGTACGAAACCACGCACCAATGAAGTGCTCAATGTATTGTTGTCTTTATCGTACTAAGACCATTTTTTAAAACTGTTCTAGGCTATTTCTAAAACTCGATATTAAAAGCTAAAAAAATATAAAGTAATTTGAAAAAAAATCTAGTGTTCTAATAAAGAACGGCCGTAAAATGTCGCGAACAATTATTGGGAACTAATACGTGAACTTCTAAAACTGTCACTTTGTTGTTTCCACGGTGTTATTAGACTTGATAGAAAATTTTTCCGCTTGTTTTCTCTTTCCTATTCTTTAAATTTCTTTTGTTTGATATTTATATTTTCACTCGTTAGCAGTCATTTCTACGGTGGTATAGGATACTTTTTCTTTCTTTTTCTTTTTTCTTCCAGAATCTTCTTTTTCTTCTTTATAATTTCATTTTCTTATTCATTCATTTTATTTTCTTTTAGAATTCAGTTTGATATTTACATCGCTATTAAATGGTTATGTATTATGCCTTACAAGTGAATTGCATGAATACATATCAACACTAAACCATTTATTATCTTTTAAGGACAATAACTTTTGAATGAAAACCTATCCTTTACATAGGCTATATTTTCTCCATCATATAAGTTAATTGTCACTTTTTTGTGTGCTTTTATCTCAATTTCCTTTACCTCCAAATTTACTAGATTCCTAAAATCAAATTATTTATTCTTTTTTTCTTGGCACAAAATTTCAGAGTTATATTTTTCATCTTCTTGTCCTCAACAGGTGGGGATTAAAAAACCTATCTTAATATATGTTAGGGGGGAAAACATCTTTTTTCTCCTTGAAAATTAAATTACCCTCAACGCGGAGGGCCTAACCATGACGTTGCTAACAAACTAATGACTTTCCTTAACAATATCCATATCATATAGAAGTATAAATGCACTCGGTGGGGCTAGAGAGAGCGTACACGAACAATYGATAGTTATGAAAACATTGCCAGGGGTTCGGCCTGATAAATGRGATCAGATGAAGGAGTTTGTTTGAAGAGCGTTCAATGGTTTGGTATCCTGCTGGGCAGATAAGACCTTGCGTGTAGTTTGCTCCACGTGAGACAACGAAAATCCTAAACAATTGATTCGTTAACAGCTCGATTGTGTGAAGTCTTTCGCCATTTTTTCTCTTTATTTCACTTTTTTCTCTGTTCCTTCTCTCCCATTTAGTTCTTTTTCACTTCTTCTTCTATCTTTTTGCCATAATCTTACACCATATACCATTGTTGCTGCCAAATAGCACATAAATCAGCATGATGTAGAAATTCACGTAATTTTTCTTTTTCGTTCGTTCGTTCTTTTTTCTTCCCTTTTTATTTTTCTTTCTTTCCTCTATATCATCCCTTCTTTCTTTCCTTGTCTTTCTTTTTTTTATCACTCTTCAGTTTTTTATCGCCTATAAATATTTTTTTTGCCTCTCACAAGTCGTTGTGAAAAATTAATGACAAGTGGTTCAACAAGTTTTTTTTTAAACATCAAAGACAAAGCCACAACAACGATACGTCTGACTCACAAGATCGATCAACAAAGAAATAAAAGTTAAACGGACCTATCAGAGGTTTCTTCGTATCGGCCCCTACCACCAAGGCTCCCTTACCCAAATATTCAATGAATCAAACTTGCTTGAGAAAGCCACAGGAAGGCCAAATGTTCTTTATATCCTGTCGATGCTGGGGGTGATCTTAGAAAAACCAATTACAGCGTACTCGGAAGAAAATCCCATCTTGGTAAACTTTTTAATTTGTGGGATACTGGTTGGCACCGGGTATACTATAAACCTTGGTTGATGTCGATTCTACTAACCGTTCTGACCGGATTTCGAAGGTCATTTTCCTCTTAAAATACAGCAATAAAAAAGCGATTCATTTTTAAACCTTTGATTTTTGCTTCGCCGAGTTTAAGGGCTTCGTTTGTTTCGCCTTAATTGGATCGACGCAAATAATTCCGTTGCAATTTTCTAGAAGCTYACGCAAGCAGTTTCCTATCAATTCGATATCCGGTTTGTACTTTCTCTCAACACTTCTCCTTCTCCCCTACCGGTTTGCCATGGGGCTTAAAATAGCTAATTCAACACTGGAGACTAACGAGTTGACACGGACATTAGGTAAAGTTTGGRATAATCGGGGGACGTTAAATACCATGACACTTTAATGGTTTCCAGATGGTTTCCCTCTTCATGCATCGGTGCCGCTTGTTCAGCACATGCAGAGCATCCAAACGAGAATGTAAAGGAAAAGGAATCGACTATTTTTTAAATAAGTCATTGTGATTTCCTACTTAAAGGACATCGCGATCGTCTGGGTCGTGAAATGCACGGCTGAAAATAATCGTGTTATGCAGGATTCTGCATGGTTTTCACYTGCGACGGAATCGGAACCGATCGGAATTGGAGTCRGAATCGATAGGAATTGGAGTCGGAATTGAGTCGGGATCGGAAGCAGTTCATCGTAAGCCAGTAAAGCCAAGCAAATTCTGCAAGATACGCTTCTGACTCCGATCCCTAGTTTTTTACTTTGTCATAAGCTGCTTCCGACTCCGATTCCGTAGCAATAACTGAACTAGGTTTTAAACCTTTGATGCGTTTTGGTGAAAGATATTTGAGTTCCTTCAAACCTTCGAACTTGTCGTGGCATTCACCAACAGAATTACGAATACCAAAACACGCAATTTGTTTAATTCAAATATATTTATTTTCTTATTTTTTAAAAATTTATTAATTCTTTTTACATATTTGTTGCTTTCGCGTAATAATTTAGAGAGAGAAAGGGCTAGAGAGCACGATCTCAAGAGAAAAAGACAATTTTTTGCATGATTATTTATTATAAGTATTYATATCCCCTCTCCATGGTAACGCGAGTAGAAATTTCAAAATAAATATTATCAATTCCTAAATCATTATTTGTTTATCATTATTTAGCCTATTTTTTGTCGAATTAACTGTACTAGCTTTTTCTTTCCTTTGTAAAGTACTTTCATGTTGTTAATCAGAGCGTTGAAGCGGTGTGAACCGTCTTCAGCGAGTTCAAAAACTTCTTTCGCTTTTCTCAGAAAGTCTATGAAGTCCCCGTAGTGTCTTGGACTGATGTGATTAAGTCTGGAGTGAACTGTATTCACGTAAGCATTGATGGTGCATTCCAGGAGTTGATTCAATGGCTCCTCGTCGCACAGCGCGAATTTGCCAAACGCGCGTGCACATCCGGGATCTGGGCTTCCGCGCGCAAAGGCACAGCGGAATAAAATGTCTGACAAAACCGTAGGACAGTGAACAGCCTTGACGATAAGCGGGATGACCTTACTGAGCTCCTCACGGCCCAGAGAGTGTGCAAGTGCACAAGTCCATTGAATATCTCCAATTGAAGGATGAGAGTCTTGGTTRAATGCCAGAGTTGAGTGTTTGACCGCAAGAATGGCAAGTCGAAACGCCCGCTGGCTAAAGTTCCTGTGTTCCATGTATCGAGCAATAGCAAAGAGTTGGGTTGGTGTGATATTGGCTGCTGTCTCCAGCACGAGTCTATATGCAGCCTCAAATGCAATAGGGTCCTTTTCGCAAAGGGCCAAGGCAGGTAGGCAACAATATTTGGGTTCTCGGCTAGCACACTGCAGAGCAAGAGCCCTGGCACAACAATGAAGTGCTTCTTTTTCTACCATAGTCAGCTTGAGTCTTATAGCTGTTGACGGCGCCATTACGTTCGCTGCTACAACAGAAGTCGCTTCGGTTGGCGAGAACAGTTTGCTCCAGTTTTTCATTATTGTACTGAGAGCAGACGTTCCGAGTTCAATCGCACATTCTATCGACCACTGCACCATTTCGTGCCTTCTCCAGTTCGACGACTCCAATGTCATCCTCAGTACTTGCAGTCCTAGCTCCATGGCAACGTGTAACATCTCGTGATCACGACAACTTTCTAGTAGACTGCCGCTGACCCCTGCCAGTTTCAACGCATCCTGAGCTAGACGGAACAGTTGTGAAGCAGAATGTACATGGGCTTGAATATTTTGAAGCACTTCTCTCATTCTCTTCTTATCTCCTTTAGAAGCGCTAAGCATGCATAATGCGAGCTCACACTGTTGTGACTCTAAATGTCCAAGAGTATACCACCGTGTAAGACTAGTGCGCATGACTTCAAGTCCTCGATCCTCTGCATCTGCAATGGAATCCAACACAAGGAACCTCATAGCTCTTAGTCCCACACGATAAGCGAGTTCAGAGTCCTTTGAGATAAAAATGTTGAATAAGAACCTTGCGAATGTGTGCATTGGTACACTACGATGATTAATCCCAAGTCCAAGACCACTAAAAGGTCCYCCTCCWWACAGCAACTCYGTCTGACGCCGTAAAACACTATATAACTTGGAGTCCATAGTGAGAAGACTTAGTTGAGCGATCAGATGTTCCTCCTGTCTGCATGTCTTGTCCTGGAAGTAGAAACCATTGGGCATTGTACGCTGCTGCCCAAGTCCCATCATCGCTACTTCTACAGCTAAAGTCAAGTAACTTTCTTCCTCATCAACTCGTCCTGAAGTCAAAATATGGACGAATTTCTTCACGTCCTGTTGAGAACTCTTGTATACCGTACAGTTCGAGTCCTCCGACTGAGTATCTTGATCATTAGCGGATACATCTTCCGTAGACGMTTCGATCAGAGTATCGTACAACACAACGATGGGGTCAAGAGGATGGCCAATCCATCCTTCGACGAGTTCATCATCGTTAGCGTCCTCGTACAGACGTTTTTCGAGTTCATGTTCACCGTATCGTTCAACRAGTTCTTCCATTTTGTGATACTTGTGGGATTGTTCTTCCTGCATTCCTCGAGCCACGGCAAGGGCCAAACGCAAAGCCTCTGTTGGGTATCCATGAGCGCGAAGAGCATCAACTCTTGCTGCCGCTACTGGGACATCCTCTGTTGGGTTGATAAAAAGTTAAGGTTAGAGTTTGTGAATCAAGAATGGTGTAACGGTATTTGCACTCCACTCTCACATGTGGGAACTCAGGATACAATGCGAGAAGAGTTTGCCAGGCTCTATGGTCTTTCCGATTTGCCTWCCTCCCTAAAAGCCAACATGCTAGTGAAATTCCAATTTGATCTGTGAGTAAGTCATGCCCTGGCTTTGATTGGCCCAGAAGTTGTGGGTTCCGTAAAAAAAGTTTGGTTTTTGGAGAACTTTATTCATTTATTTTTCAGTAAGAAAAATGCAGGTGATCTTCCAAACCCTATTTATATAAAGTTTGAAGAATGACTTGTAGTGAGAAAGACGTTTCCCTCAGCTGTCCTTTCTCTTTATCTCCCCTGTCTTACATGTCATACTTAAACACACAAATGGTTTGCCCAACGTACCTGACCAAATAAAATATCCTTCGTCACATTCTCCAGAATTCCCAATGATCTTCTGCAGCTTGCTATCCTTCCAGTCAAGACTACATGTTTGAATAGCCCTTGAGAAGACAGTTCTTTTGGCTTTGAGCCCTYGTACTTCGGAATTCTCGCTGCTCGTTTCATCAGAAGCATCAGGATTTTCCATCGGACAAACATCCCTTTGACTCCAGTCCTCCAGTTGTTCCTTCCACACGGCCTTTTCTGATTGAGTGCAGTTTGGRTTCAACACAACACAGACCCACAGCGCACCGAGCTGATCCCACAATTGACGACATTTGTCGTTCATTGAGGTTCCTTGTTGCTTCCAGATCTGCAGCCGTGGATCTTCAAGGAATTGTTCGGTGATTAACTTGAGCATGCGYGAACCATTCTTGTCATGGACGCGAAGCATTTCACGCACCTGAAAACAAGCAGGAAATTCGTTAAAAACACAAGTTAAAACTGTAAAAGCTAAAAGTCATGACAGAAAAGGGTTTACAATAGGCCCAATCTAAACCAACAACCTCAAAAATCTACTATTACTCTGTTGACTTTATTTGCTTGTTTTTGACAACCTTAGATGGATTTGAAATGGCATTCCTGAATTCTTGTTTGATAATGGATTGACGGTAATGGGTTTGWTGGTGCATCAGTCGTAAAGCAAGGTCGCCTCTTTAAACACAATAAGAATATCAAGCCCAGCATCGCCCAAAATACCTCAACCAACAAAAGAAACACCAACACAACCAGCTTTATCTACATACCTTTGCAAACATGGAAAGTAGTTGTCTACCGCTATTACAATGTCCATTTTGTGATAAATAACTTCGAACTTGATCCCTAACTTGCTCGGCGTCTAAATGCCAGCAGTTATCATCGTCTACACTCGCTCCCGCAGTCGGATCTGGAGCACCCGCAACTTGATTAATTTCTGAACTCTTCTTGAGTATTTCGTCTGCTAGTCGTTGAGTCGTCGGTAAAACGTCGGAATGATGTTCTGATAGTAAATACTGTACAAGTTTTTGAAGCTGATCTCTGTTCATTTGTGAGAGAGTCTCTGATATCGGAATTCGGAGCGTAACCCGTTGAGGGAATCGAATGCGAAATAAGGAGAGAGCGACGACGTGCGAACACCAGAGAATGTCCTTCGTGCCACAGGAACAAGAAACCGAAGTGATCTTGCATCGGTCAAAGCTGATCGATACACTGAATTCTTCTTTTTGCTGTCCATAGCGGGTCTCTTCTACTTCAATTACTTTCCCACTCAAACTGAAACCTGTAGAGAGACGAGAAAAGTGAACATTAATAAGAATGACAAATTAAAACAATTCTAAATTAATAACGTTGATAATATTTGTTCGCAAAAGAAGCCTTGAGCRCGTTCTGGGGCTAGGAGTAAAAGAAACTACTTATGTGGCAAAGAGCATGTTTGATTTTTATGCTTTCCAGTCCAGTAGTCAAAGCTGTGGCTGTTCAATACCTCACGATGCATTCTGCATATATTTTTTCACGATATAAACTATATATAGGAATAGGAAAAACGTCAATAGAGTTGTACGGTGAACGGCGTTTTAAGAACGTGGAGGGGAAAATGCTCAGTTAAGTGTCGTATATGACTGAGAGAATTTGTCATATTTGTCATCCCTAGAGATGCACGCAAAGTTACTTCTTTTTCGGCTTAGGTTAGAATAGAATCGTATTCATTGTGCTTTTYTCTATACTATAGTCATTGTTTTGCCATGATATTTAAGTCTTATTGCACTGACAGTTACAAGTTAATCGCCTTAATAACATCCACAACTCAACACCACCACTTCATAGCCATGATCCCCGAAAATACCGCAATCTTTCATCTCCCAAACCACTCACAATTAGATGTCAATTGAGTCGCCAGTATGTCTGACCAGACCGGACCACCTGTAATCCCTTTACACTAAGACACGTCTCCAGTCAGTCTAGCTCCGATGGACCCCAAGCCTTGCATTTAACCTCTTATTTGTACCATAAAAGCTCAAAGACCGGGATTGGAATTAGAAAATGTGCCATCAATGGAAATCCCGCAATACATCAACGTTACACAGTTCACAGTGTGAGGCAAAAACATCGCCACAGCAACTTGAGTTCTAGACAAAAAATGAAATCTCGCAAATATACCAACTAGAACGATTCTAATGATCCTTCTGGTTCTTACTGAGAGGTGAAACCTCGACGGCGAAACTTGAAAGTGCCGGCTTCAGAAGGAGGTCTATTATTTTTCATTTGCACTCATTGTTTCTTTTAGAATTTCAAAAATTAATAGCCCCGAGGACTAGCTTAATTCTTTCTTTCTTTAAACTAATTTGATAGCATCTTGACTGTCAAATTGATGGCTTCGTTTCTGCCTCTTTTTCTTATCCTTTCGTGGTCATTTTAATTTTCTTCACAGCTACAAATTTGCTTTAGTAATATTTATAGAAAAGGGAGGATGTTGAGTCCATGAAGTACCAATTTCGTGGTCACTGAAGATGATTTGAAATAAAAAGCTTTGGGAGGTGTCCATCTAAATGCGTCGGACACCGCCCACAGACAGCCTAACGATCTGGTATTGAAAAGGCTTCTGTAAGACTCGTGGACCCATAGCCTTAGGCTCAATGCATTTACGATAATACATTTCCAAGTCTTAAGCCTAACGCTTTGAATTTACACTCGTAACGAGTTAGCTAATGTCTTATGACACTGACAAACACTCTGCCATTGATTCTTTGTGTTGCAAAACAAGCGTTTTTGTTCTCCAGCATTAACATTGCTATTCAGGCTGTCAGCCACTTGCAAAACACTGTTGAACTTTCCATTTTAATAAGGCTGTTTTAGTGTTACCTTTATCAACATCAGGGGCTCTATAGACTGACCGTCTCCACCGACGAGCATGATTGTAAGATCCTTTTAGCTCGTTTCTTTGTCTTGATAACTAAACCGGACTAGAGCTACTGGCATGACCATGTTGAGACGCCACAAGACAATACATAACGAAAATTAAGTTTCGATACGAATATCGAAAACGAAAAAAAACCCCAACTTTTCACTTTCTAACGTTTTAACCATGAAAATTCGATGTAAATCTAAGTCGCTTTAGAGGAGTTTTGTGAATTTTTGGAGAACATTTTTACAATGAACACCATCAAAATTAATGATTATGCAAACGCAGTACCTTGTTCTCTCTTAAGTAAAGCAGTTACAATGAATTTCAATGAATTTTGACACCTTTTGGTGCTCTTAAACCAATGCAAAGAAAACAATATGCATGGCCAACGCAGTAATCTTTCAAATTACAACACAAAGCGGCGCCAATATCGAGAACATCTACAAACAGCGCTCGCAAAAAAACCCTAAAAAATCTTTCTCACAAATAGCCGCAGAGAAAAAGAGGCACTTCGTAACAAATCCAAAATAACATTTTTTGTGTATTTTGAAAGTCGTTTTTCGTTTCCTTATTCGCTTCCGCGGGTCCTGTCCCTGATCTAGACCGGCACTTTACAACACACTCTCCCAATCAACTAGTTTTATATACAATCTACTTATCCAGTTCAATGATCTGGGAAGACATGAGTGGCTCATAGAATGCGAGAGCAGAGTAGAACACGAATGTCGCTCTAGAGTGATTTTTATACAGTCTGATGTAGAGAATGTATGAGGCTAAAGAAACAATAGCTTCAAAATCAAGACATCGAGAGGGATTCCAATAGAGGTCTTATATGACGTGGGGGGTTAATATGCCAGACATTCTGTCGCCGTAGTACAAAAACCTCACTCCGCTTATAGAGTATCGCTAARCACTATATAACACTAAAAGTGAAACCTCCTAAAAACCCAACAAAACTAAAATCTAGAATATTTGCCGGAAATTATTACAGAAAAAAACTGAGGAAAAAAACATATTTTTCAAACCGCAAAAGTCGTGTACGTGGTTAAAACTTTTTATAAAGTTTCGTATTTTTTTATGTTTTTCTTCTAAAATTTTTAATCCAAATATTTTTGCAAGGCTATTTTTCAAACATTTTTCGATCGATAAGATATTTTATCTCTGTAAATGTCAGGATATTTTAGTGTGCTTTTACAGCAAAAAGGAAAAACGTTCGCGATAACGATTACGTTTGCCTGAGACTCTTTAAACCTTTTCACTTTCGCAGTTCAAAATTTCAATTTTTCTGTAAGTTCCTCTTGTAAATAAGAACTGTTTAATCAACCAACTCGTATTAATACACGTAAAAATGGAAAGAAAATGTCGTATGACCGAAATCACTCTCGTCCAAGCATATTAAAGATTGTCCATTTGACCAGAGCGACAGGCTGACAGATTTGTTAGAAGCTAAATTGTCTCTAAGTTATTAGAAGATTTGAAGATTTTGGCTTGTTAATTCATAGCAAAGCGCTGGTACTGAGAAAACGCTTTAAAAAATAGCTTTGGATCACAGCGCGAAGCAAGAAATAATTAGAACTTACTTTCATCCGAAACTAGAGTAAAACCAAAAGATTTTAAAATAACAGAACGAATAAAAAAATTAGCAAAAAATTGAGTTGGCAATAAAAAACAGGTTAAGAATCGCAGGTTGTTAAAAGAAAAAAAATGACTGAAGCTGCGAGGACTAATAAGCGTATAGTAGGATGTACCCGTTTCTGTTTTGCGACTCTGGCGCCAGACTGTCCGAATAGCGCTACCCCACACAAAGCAAGCACGGTACGCCGGCAAAATAACTCAAATAATCCTCTTAATCGCTAGGAAAACCCAAATTTCTTGAACCATATCTGGGCGAGTTTCTCTAGAATTTTTCCTCATTTATATATTTATATTTAGTTTTCCTTGAATCCATGGATAAGTTTTAAATGTCAGTATATATTGAGTTGAAAACGGAGTTGATATGGTGTAAAGGTGAATATAAAGAATATTCCAAAAACACAAGAATCTCACAATCCATTTCAGACCTTTTTAGGATATTTATCGAACAACTTTCATTCTGCAATTTTATATTTTTTCCCCTTTAAACCTGGGATATTGATAAAGGCTGTGCGGTCTTGATACTTATACAAATAAATTGCCTCTAGCCTAGTAGACTGTGTGGCGCTAGCAATCTGTAGGTGACAAATATACAATAAATCTTATTCAAAAGATCCCAGAGTTGAGCCACGAAAATAATTTTCTGTTAAAAATTCTCAAAAGTAGACATGAAATTTCCCCCTGACTTTGTCCTGTTCAGCCTACAGGACCCCGAAGGTAGTGATGTTGATGTTTTAGAAAGGGGGATAGGTACGGAAAGGGAAAAACGAAAGAAACTTTACTTACCAACTTGAAGAACGTCGTGAACTGAATTTTCTTCCAAGAGAGTGAGGCCTTTCTGGAACGGCAGTCTTTTGATATCGGTGTGACTGGAAGAAGTGTGTAGAGAAGAATACATACAGATATCTTTCTCATTCCTGGGGAATGACCAATAGACAATTCTAAGCTGTACGGGCTCCGGAACGCGCACAATTTGCTCTTCTACGCGTTGAAACGGGATTCTCGAAGCCACACATCTTGAGCTGAGATCAAGAAGCGAAAGTGGCTGATAGGTTTTGGATTCTGTGTGAATTTTCTTGCATTTTGGATATTTTGTACACGGAGAGCTGCTCCTCCGACGTTTTCTCAAGCCATCCATTTGGTGAACTAAACTTGGAACGCATGCGCTGTGGGTTGTAAACATTATAACTAGTGACAAGGATTCATCTCTCCAGGAGGTCAACGGCCTGGAAGCGTTAGGAGACTCACAGCAGAATCAATTATCATCATCACTTCAACTCAACTTGTCTCGTGAATTCAAGTTTCCATTCTCCTCAACCAATTCGTAAAACTGATCTCTTCAAAACCATCTCGTAATGGTATGAGCTCCAATTTATCGTGAAAAGATGATTTTTCGTGCTCTTGTCGTTGTTATAACTACTAGATCAAAGTCTAGTTTCTCCCTACTTGGTAACATGACAGCTGGAAGTAAGCTTCACTCCAGGGAATAAAGTGTGTGTAACAAGCGTTTGTAAAACTTTGTATTTTGTTCTAAATTAACCATTTTTTTCTTACAAAATTATTTTTTATTTTGGGCAACACAACAAAATTGACTATAAAATTCTGCAGGAGAATTAGATAGATGATTCGTATGAATCGGAAAACAAATATGGCAAGGTTTGCTGAAGGCTTGGGGAGTTTGTCATTTGACAACTTTACGTACGATAAACTGATGATTTTGGYGACAGTTAGTCTGCGAGTTGGCCGCACGTGTTGTGCGCTAGTCAGTGAGTGGCAGCTTCTAATCATTAACTCTCTAATTAAATTAATCCAAATGTCAAGAAAGGGACTTACGTCATCTATCAAGGAATGAAGATGAGATCATTCGTAAGTAAGTCATGTAGGTTTACGTCGGCGAAGAATGAAGTCAAATTTTATTGAAATTCGTAGAGAAATTTTTTATCTAGATAGATGATCGGAAAACATATCTTGGCATAACTAGCTCAAATCCTTTCGATGAATAAGTGGTTGGCGAGTTACAACGGGTTTATATTAGAATCGATACCATTTTTTTCACTCCAGGAGTGAGTGTCACCGGCTCTGTGGCGCCGATCGCACAATGCTTCCTCGCCATAAGAATTGTGAAAGTTAAATAACAAAAGTGCGAAGCAAGCAAGCGACAAAACCGTTTGTTTGTTTATACCCACACTAAGCCTGTCTGATGGATTCCAAGTAATACTCAGCAAGTTCAGAAAATCCATTTCAATTTATTTTTTAAATCCTCGCAAAATCGCTTTACGATATAAACTAAACACGAGACCGGAAGTACGTGCTGGATCAGCTCTAGCCCAGTCCCTGTCGACTATCGTTGTTAGCCTTCCAGGGAGCGTCGTGTTTTTGTGATCGCCAGACTTGATGTCGCCAAGAACAATAGGACCTCTCTCCTTGCATTTTACTCCCCAACATAGCATAATGTCCAATTTGGTTGCATTTCGAAAACTTTGGTGAGCCACAGGAACGCCACCCCGCGTCGCATTTCCCGGCCTTGTTATTAAATCCCGAAATGTTACTTGTTAAACTAGGCTGGACTGGCGTCAGCAAGACTACGCTTGCAGCGCCACCACCGAGGGGGTATTTTCAACCCCAGAGGAGCTAGACTTCTAGTCGCCGTATCGGTTAATTTTCCATTAATCGGCTGAAGAGCTAATCTTCTATCCTGTCTGAGGGAACGAAAAAAAGACCTTTCTATCGGTTTTTTTTAGAAGTTTATTTAAAAAGAATGATTTGAATGATTTTCGACAAGATTTGCAGTTTAGAACTTAGCTTTTCGAGCCGGCATTTTTTGGATTCGTAGAGTTTTCTTTCATGACTGCTGGAGATATTTATTTGCATTCGATGGTAATGTTTACTCGAACTAAGAGAGAGTATTCTGTGAGTCGTGGTGAGATATCTTATTTTATTCGTATTACTAATGCTGTAGTTTCTATATATGCTAGCTTATGCAGCAAGGCGAAACTTTTATTGTTTTTGTTATGAAATTTTAGTACACGTATCCATTGTGAGTGAATCTGTAAGCTTTGAAGGCTTCTTTAAAAATCTGTTTGTCGGGGGTTTGTCGACCCTTCTGGGCCAAAATTCTTATAAAAAATATTCTAAGACCACCATACTTGCGACAACGGCATGGATGATTACTTTACGGCTCTTAGAACAACCAAAAGCCCTCGATACCAAAGCCTGTGGCCTTTCAAGTGAAGAAGATATCACTTAATTAAATAGAACGAATTGCAGAGTGACCTATTCCGGGCCTTGTTGACGAACGATCATTACACGTCGACTCGCGTGTGGCGGTGAAATATTCACTTTATTAATCACTAAGACGTGTCGAGTGAAATACATATATATATATATATTTGCTGTCACACGGGATTTTAAATCAACGTACAAAAGGCTCAAATTTGAATACTATTGAGAGGCCATTCAAGTCGTAGATATCGATGTCTTTCAACGACTAGGGGACCGGCTAAGCCATTGATGGACAATAATTTTATGAATCTAAACTTATTTATTTCAATATTCTCGATGAAAGATGGCATTTAGGAGCAAGCTTGGTGGATATTGGAAATATGCGCGAAGATATTTATTTAAAAAATTATGCTGTGCCGTAACCGTGAAGTGATACTTCTTCACTGACGTGCTGAAATTATTTTCCAACACCAAACTTTACTCATTCGAAAATCCGCGTTAGCATGCGAGACTTCTATGCGAACTGTGTTTCTAAAAAAAACGAAGAAAGGTATTTTTAATCAAAATTCCCATCACGCCAGTGTGAATTTATGTTTTGAAATAACTTTTCCCCCATTGAGAGCGGACTATAATTTGAGAGTCGGCGGAGCCCTCCTATCTAGAGCAATATTAACTATGCCCTTATACAACGTAGGCACGACTATCGGCACCTCTGTTGTTAGTACTTTTGTGATTAATGACATCTGAAGATACCAATGCGAAGACCCGGCTCTTCGAAACTAAACGACAATATGAAACATGAGTTATTTATCATCTACCAAAACCCTAACCGTGAAAGCTCGAGAGATTCTCTTTGTGTCAACCTCTTGACTCGAGTTTTTAAAACTCAAGACACTCGTCTTATGGTTTTCGTTGAGGTGGCCCCTTAGTAACTTCTGTACGAGCCATAGTAACCGGAAAATGCTAAGTTTTTCTTTATTCACTAGGGTTGTTTTGGTTTAACGATAGAGCCCTTTCATTGTCTTATTTGTTAAGCAGCCTTTTCTCTACTACTGTGTGGAAAATAATGTTTCTTTTGGATG